ATCTTTAGAGCCCTGTCAGTGTGAAGGTAGTGCAATTTTACAGGCTAGTGTAGTTGCAGCTAAACAGGCTCTGGTGATGTTTCTGGGTTGTTAAAAAAATGGTTCTCTGTTAACACTGTGTGTATGGAAGGAATAATGCCTCCATGCTAGAACTGCAGGTGTTTCTTAGTAAAAATATTTGGTTACTGTATAAAGTATAAAAATATTTGGCTTTCTAGGCTTTCACTTTTTATGTATTTGGTTGATTCACTATCTAACCATAATAAGCTGCATACTGTGCTGTGTGAATAATGTGTGAAAGCACTTGCAGGAACATGAAATCCCACCTAAACTGTAGCTGTTGCTCTGTCTCTGGACCTAACCGCGGAACAGAAGCATGCTGTAGTTTTTCGTTTGAAGCTGGTACAGGTGTCGCCTTCAGCTCAGTTGCAAACAGTGAGGAGAGCCAACTGATGTGGCCTGCGGTTCCTGGGTAATGTCTTCAAAAGTGCTTATGTGACAGGTGTTTAAATTCCACTGACTGTTAATGGGATTTTGGTGCCTCAGTCAGTGATTCCCAAACTGCGGTTGGCATACCTCTGGTGCAACTCTTGGTAACAGTATTTGTGTTCATTACTGTGTTTAGCTAGAAGTTTGAAAGAGGGCCATCATAGTCTATAAGAAACATGGGAGATTGCTGGAGGTCTGCAGCCAAAAATGTTTGGGAATCTCTGGTCTAAGTCACTTAAGCACTCTTTGAAAATATTACCCTTTTTCTGGGAGAACTCTTGCTTCTGTTTAGTTGAAGCAATGGAGATGAGGACAGTTGCTGATGTTACTAAAAATAAAATACAATCATAATCACTAAACTTTGATATCCCAATTAAAAATGTTCTCTGTAATTGCAAGCATTTATTTGGTCTGTATTAATTTACAAATGTGTAAATTGGCTTGCTAAAATAAAGGAGTGCACTCTTGAAAGAAAATGTTTGTCCTTTTAGCACAGGCTTGGTAACCAGTTGCTGTATGTAAAAGCTAGTTACTAGCATGAAATATTCTGCAATTTGCTGCTCTTTATGTTCACTTCCTGTGTTTTTCCTGTTATTTACCTAAGATACAGCTGAATACTTGTAAAAAATTATGATAACCTTAAGAATTGCAGATGTTCAGGTATTAGAAACTTTTTGGAAACAGAGTCCCTCAATATGTGTTGTTTGTGTGTGTAAAATAATTTGTTCATCCATCCTTAAGCCTGCGGAAGTTCTTACTTCTCTCACTGAAACGATGTGCGCAGCTGTGTGCAAGCACTTCCTGAAACTCAGCTAAGGGAGAAGGCTCTTGAGCAGAAGTGATAAGCAACTGGACACAGGAATATACCTTGTCGTCTTGCAGTGTTAACTGTTGCTTTGTTTAAACCATGCACTTGTTCATTTAGAGTCTTGTCTGAGGGACAGAAATGCATTAGTGTGCTTGCCTGGTCATGCACAAATTTTCACACTGTGCTGGGCAGCAACAGGAGAGTATATACCTGAGATGACTTTCCTTCCACCTACCAAATATTGCATACATTAGTTTCAAGCGTGCTTAGAGGTTTTTTCACAAATAGGACATGATTTTTCAAGTGGTAAGAGTACTAGCAAGTCAGTGCTAGCTTGAGCCGTATGCCTAAACAGCTTTAGGATTGCTAACTTTGTGGAAGTCACTTGGCATTAATGCATTGATGCAAGATTCCGCTTTACCTGCTAAGATTGCATAAAAATATTGCACACTAATCCTTCAAGGAAATGATTCAGAATTTAATTCTTACCAATTAGTTCCATGTTAGTGTAACAGATAATTAGTTTTTGCTCAAGCCTCCATTTTTATAAACTTAGTAAAAACAAATACCATCTCTTTTTTTTGCTTGAGTTGTAGATGGATTAAATGATTCATAATAGCATGGTGTTTGCTTTTTCCCCTTGCACTGCCATAAATTGTCATCTTTTCTGTCACTTTATGGAAATGACGACTTTCAGAAGATGGCTTGGGGAGCAAGCTCTGCTGATACAACCTGTGATTTGCAATTTTTCTAGTGTCAGCTGAAGGCAGTGCAGGGACATGGTGGGAACCTACCCTCTGGAGGGAGGGAGGGAGCTGGGGTATGAGTTTACAGTTAAACTGTCCTCTCTGTAGCATTAGCCAGTGGCTGTGCCTCCAAATCTGAGCCTTTCCCCAGTAAATGCAAAGTTGCTTATCTGCTACTGGAAAGAGGAACACACAAGTTTGAATTACTTAATATTACACAGGGTGGGGAGTTGCACAAACAGATGCTACTGATAAGGTAACAGTCTGGTTTTGTATTGCTGCAGCTTGTGTATCCATACAGTCTAGGTCCGGAGCCCCTGATCTTCATAAACGTGATCGTGATCATCTAGGAAGCCATTACTTTGCTGTTCTGATACAGCTTGGTTTTTCCTACACACAGGATCCTGTATAGTTTTCTTTTTAAGATATGCTGATTAAGCCTTCCTAAAAGCAGGTGGGGAATTACAGTAGCACTCCAAAGGTATAACAAAACTGCAAAAGCAAGATGGCTGGAGATTGTGATACGCTAGTAAGGCAAGGGGACTTTGACGGCCCCTCTCTGTGGACGCCAGTTAACTGACAAAGAGTGGTGAACAACAAAGCTTTTTCAGTTGGTGTTTATAGACTCAGCCCAATCATACAGCTGCTTTAAACTGCACGCAGTTTGAACATATAATGCGTCGACTAGAGAGCTGCTGAATGGAGAAGCCTACAGAAGAGCATCTGGGTGGTTTTACTTACCTTAATCTTGAGCACCTGTTGTTATTGGACATGTATGAAATGATGAAACACAGAATCCCTGCTGTCTAGCTGGCACCTTCTTTAAACACTTTGAGCAGCTTTCATTGCTGAGACACAAATTAAAATGTAGTTGAATAAATAAGGGTAAGAGAGGAGAACTACTGTCAAAGAAGATTGATAGTTTTGAGTCCTGTATACCTTCTAGTCTACCCAGACTGTATCAGAGTGTGGAGAAAGGGCTCATGTGGAGCTGAGTATATGCTATAATATATGTCAAGCAAAGTAGGTCACTTCTAATTGAGTTTAGACTCAATGAAGTATGATATGGAGCTAGAAGATCTAAGCCCAGATGTCCTGGGAAATTTTTGTAGAAAGGCTGGAGCTAGTGACCTATCTCCTTTAGCTGGAGGTCAGTTCTATAATCAGGCAGATTAACAGGATAAGTACTTCAGCTAGGAACAGCATGTCTGGAGCAAGTGGTATCTGAAAAATGTCCAAGATCAAGTAAATCGGAACTAATTCAACCAGAATACGAGAAATTGGTGAAAGGCTGAAACCTGGGGGGAGCTTAGTTTTCTGTCAAACACAGCTGTCTTCAGGGAGATGGCACACTACAATAGTAGCATACTTAATGAGAGAGCTTGGGAAACAAGGCATTAAGAAAATACTATATGACTGGGGATGCTTCTAGCCCTTCTCTGAATAGCTCAGTATTTTGCAGTCTGCAAAATAACTTGTTGCTCGGTGTCATAACTGAGTCTGTGCAATGCCTCAGTGGTTGACAACGTCTTCTGACCAGCTCAGGTCTGTTGGACATAACTTAAAAGTTCTCTTTTCCCCACATGATACTGGTTCCTTCTTTTACCTTCAAGCATGTGATATGGGGGTGAAAAAAGCCTCTGGCCTAGGAATATCCCCATCTCTCTTCAGGGACCCCCATTTTCCTAGCATATGGAGAATATAATGAAGTAGAGGAGAAGAGAGTCATCCTTTATTTGGATAAAGGAATGAGAGAAAGAGGTGCCACTACTGAATAGATTTTTTTTTTTCATCTACAAGTAGAAGACAACCTTTCTAGTGTGTAAAAGTGCTATTGTTTGACTCCTAAGTAGGAAGACACTTATTTTGTTATTCCTGTACTGCTACAGTCACTAATACTTTCAGGTACTGAAGCTAGCTCTGTTTTTGCAGAACACAGTTACTACCTAGAACTTACCTCCTTAATGTAGTTGCTAAGACTACAAGCAGGGAAGAAGCAGTCCCAGGCTGCAGTTTTTACTACTGGGATTTGGTGCCAATCCAATGCTAGTTTCTTGTGAAGCATGCAACCCAAAATGCTCTCAATGCTGCTGTGTCCTCTCTGCTAGGCAGTAGTCCTCCTGTCTTCTATTTCTGGTAATCTTTTGTACATTGACTAAATCCAAAGCAGAGAATCTCTCTTTCTCTCTTCTCCAGCTTTCCCTCTCCAGTTCAGAAAAGGGCATGCCCTGATGGACTAGGGCACTCCTGATATATGAACGTCATCAGGCAGAGAAGGGACTTGGGGTACCAATTTGTAATTCAAATTGGATAATTACTCAACACAAAATTGAGCACCCTAACTGTCAAGCTTTTGTCTGTAAGTTATTACCATTTTAGAAAAAACCTGCAGGTGTTTTGACCTTCCCTTGGGAGCTGGACCTGTTATTATCGCTTAGACATTCTCTGAGCAAATCTACTGTGTTGGGACCCTCTGGAGACTTGGAAAGACCTTTGGCTTTCATGATCCAAGGCAGTAGTAGTTTCATGTGCTCTAATAAGGAATTTTCAGACCCAAGAGCAAAGGAGTCTAATGAGGTTTTGGCTCCAGTTATGCTGTTATTTAATAGGTAAGATGTGAATACTGGTTTTGGACATTTTCTGTGAATGTATTTCCGGGGCGGGGGGGGGAAGGGGGGGATTGCCTTGGAAATAACCTGCCCACCTCAAAGAGGTTCTGCAGAATTAGTCATTGTGGAAAATGTCTTGACAAACACAGACCTTGCTGATAAGTGCCATGTGATGGATGTGTTCTGAATGCTGGGTAAATACTTGAAAGGCAGCCCCAAACAAGAGGAGTTTTCTAGGCTGGGATACTTCTTGAATTGCAATGGGTACTATTTCTGTTTTGTTCAGAGTGCTAAACTACATCTGTCTTTTCTAAAAGAAACGTTTGTTTTTGTGGTCCTTTGTAGGCGTAACCTGACAAAGTTATCCCTGATATTCAGCCATATGCTGGCAGAACTCAAAGGTATTTTCCCAAGTGGCCTTTTCCAGGGAGACACATTCCGGATCACCAAGGCAGATGCTGCAGAATTTTGGAGAAAGGCTTTTGGTGAAAAGTAAGTTTCTAACTGTGCTTAAAAATAGAGATGTGGGAAGAAGTTGCACACAGCACTGTGTATTTCTAAAAATTCTGTTTTGCGGTTCAGAAAGGTCAGGTTAAAATGAACGATGGGGGAGACCTACTAGTCATTTGATCCGCTGTCTGGGTGAGGTACAGGATCTTCCTACGCTATATTTCACAGTTCTTTGTCCTGTCTTGTTTTAAAT